TAAAACGGTGGATTCATTTATATTTTCTAAATCTAGGACTTCCCCTAGCTTAAAATGACCACAGATGCTTCAATAACCTGTTGGGGCACTCACCTAAATACTGAATTTTGGCAAGGCAGATGGACTTCACGAGAGACAAAACATCGCTCCAACTTCAGGGAACTAAAAGCGGTTCTGAAGGTTCTACTTTCTTTTGAGCAATGGATCACAGGAAAACCCGTTAAGGATTCAACCAGAAAACACCAGAGTTTTCACCTACCTGAACAAACAATGGAGAGACTCTCTGTATTGCCTATGCACACAGATCATGTATTGGTCAAGAAAATAAGCCATTTCACAAAGTAGAAGACAATGTTACATACAGTATTATAGCAGAGGATCTCAGCAGGGCATAGTGGATGAAAATAGAATGGTCACTAGGTTCAAAAATGTTTGGCAGATTCACAAAGAAGCACAACCAACCAGTAGCTGATCTCATGGCAACAAGGCTTAACAGGAAAGTAACAACTTTTGCTTCCCTATCCCAGACAGATAAGAAAGAAGCCACAGCACCGTGGACTTCATAATAGTATACATTTTCCCATCCAGTCTTTTTTTCCATAAAAATAAAAATAAAATGAAAACAACAAGGGGGCGTGGCTAACCGCCGAGCAAGATGGCCGCTTAGAAATCTGCTCCGGCACATGGGCTCCACCAACTCCACTTTTAACGCGAGCTGAAACCACCCTAACAACCAAGCAAACCATGGCCTCATCCAAAGCTAAGAAAATGGCTGCAAAAGCCGAAAAAATGAACTTTTTTGGACAAAAATCCTCCCTTACAGCGGAGACAGCACGGGCGACAGACCAAGAGACCGTAGACGAGCTGGAATCCAGCTCACTGCCGGCAATGTCTGAAGAGCCTCAGCCCACAGACTGCCTAACACGAAGCTATTTCGAACGTGCTATGGAGGCAATGGCGACAAAATTAATTACTACATGGCAAACAACTGCCGACCAACTCAAACGCGAGGTCAGAGATCTATCGGCCAGAACATCTGCAGTGGAACAACGCTGCCAGACCCTCGAGACCGCGCAAACAACGACTTCAGGGCGCTTACAATCCCTACAACAACAAATGGAAAGCATGGAAGCGCGCATGGCGGACCATGAAGACAGAGCGCGCAGAAACAACCTAAGACTCAGAGGAGTCCCCGAAACGGTCCTACCTGAGGACCTGCAGGCCTATGTGAGAGGCCTCTTACGCGCCTACGGCCCGGACATTCCTGCAGACATGCTGCTTGTCGATAGGGTCCACCGAGTAGCGAAACCGAGACACCTACCAGATTCCATCCCACGCGATGTCCTACTTAGGGCCCACTACTTTCATGTGAAGGAGTTGGTCCTCAGATCCCATCGTAACAAAGCAAACCCGCATGAAGACTTCCCAACAGTACGCATCATGGCGGACCTGTCGCCAGCTACCCTCCGACGCAGACGAGACTTCAACGTGGTCACAACCGCACTCCGCCACCATGGAATCCGTTACAGGTGGGGATTCCCCACGAAGATAATCCTCACCAGAAACGGGAAATCGCACCTCCTTCTATCTCCAGAGGACGGATTGGCGGCCCTGGAGGCATGGGACTTAACGACAGCACCACCGACAGAGGCACGACCCAAGCCCCAAAGACCAGGCCATAGCACAAATATGAACTAAAATGAAAGAATGGAACTGAATGGCATGCTAGCGCAAGTATCACATTAATGCTATATCTGCTCAAATGTTTTCTTGATTAATATGCAAGGTGTATGTACCCATGCTACAAGAGGGTATAATCCTAACCGCTGTCTGCACTCCCTTTAATAGCCCACTCAACTGTAAACCAGATTGGGTAGCCCTTAGATACACATGCTGCGCAATGCATAGAATTTATTAAATGAAGTGCCATTATAGGACACACCTTCGCATAGGGCGCTGTCACTAAAGCATGAGCCCAACGGGACAATCTATCCCACTGCCCAATATCTAGCACTACTAGATAAGCACGCTTCGATGCGCACAAGGGCACTGGGGAAACCTAACACAGCCCAAGCCCAAATACGCGCCACACTGCGCAATTAAGAATGTGGTTAAAAAGGGAGGGTAAAAAACAATGTTCTTGCATAATTACAGCAGCAGCGGTCAAAACAGACAGCATCGATTATCGTAATGATACCTGCATGCCTATCCAATAACAAAGTTTTAAGTTGTGTTGAAAGTTTTATTGTTGATCCACGCTATAACCAAGGTTTCAGCTCTACCAAATAGTTGTTTATATCATAGACAGGAGCCCAACCAGCCACGTATTTGGAAGCTCCAGCTCCGCAGCCCCACGGTACGACTAACGTACCAGACCGCACGGTCTTTGTATATAATCCACCCTAACCACCGTCAGAACCCCGTCCTCCCAGCCTTCCCTACCTCCCACCTGCACCTACACGACACGGCAGCTACACGCACCTCCCATCCTAAGCAAACCACCACCGCATACAATACTTGAACTTACGCAACACTCCATAATAACCATGATCATCTACTCACACAACACAAAGGGGCTCAACACGCCTCACAAACGGCGAGTGCTACTGGACGATATAAAAAGCACGAAGGCAGACATAGTCTGCATTCAAGAAACGCACTTTGTCACTAACCGAATACCCACCTTCGCAACAAGAGACTACCCCACACAGTACCATGCCACGCACACTTCTAAATCCAGAGGGGTCTCCATACTGTTACATAACTCATTAACAGTGGAAACTCTGCGAGTCAAAACGGACAGCCAAGGTAGATACCTTATTCTTCAATGTATAATTAACAACGACCCACTCATTCTAGTATGCCTATACAGCCCAAATGACCAACAGCGCAACTTCCTCCATAAGGTCCTCAGCAAACTGCCAGAAGATTCAAATGATCCCAAGATTATCTGCGGAGACTATAACCATACTATGGACTCGCGAACAGACACAACAACCCCTGCCACATCAACAAGGCACCTCACACTGGGCCCAAACAACAAAGCATTCACAAAGCTTATACACGAAAATAGCCTATACGATGTTTGGCGAACTAGACACCCATCGGACAGAGAATACACATTCTTCTCGCACGTACACAAGACATATTCAAGAATAGACCACATCCTCGCTTCAGGCACGATACTACCGCTCATAGAGGACTGCTCAATAGGCAATATAGTCTGGTCCGACCACGCCCCAATTACACTGACCCTGCGATCCAACTACCAACATAGAGGTAAACAACCATGGCGCCTCAACGAAACACTCCTTCAGGACAAAGTGTTCACGACAAAATTGATGGAAAACCTGCAAGACTATTTTCACACCAACGATAACCCGGAGACCTCCATCTACAGTATCTGGCAGGCCCATAAAACTGTCCTGAGAGGTCAGCTGATCAGCCGAGCATCATACCTCAAACGCCAAAGGGACAAGGCACATATAGACCTTCTTCGACAGCTAAGAGACATCACGGCTGCACATTTTCTGAACCCATCGGACACGCATGCAAACGACATACAAAATATCACTAAACAAATCAATATCTTAACTCTTGAGAAAACGGCCCACATCCTTACCAAACTGAAACTACGAACATACACGCAAGGCAACAGAGCAGGGAAACACTTGGCCAACTTACTCAAACAAAAGCAGGCCAACTCCAAAATCCCACACCTAATCACCAAAACTGGCGAGAAAATTCATAACCCACAAGACATCAATGACGATATGGCCGACTACTACCACTCCCTCTACAACCTTAAAACAGATCCCACCCTACACCAACCTACCACACAAGAAATAGACGAATTCCTTCATACTATGGAACTCCCCACTCTACCGACAACACAAAAACACACTATACAACATCAGATCACCAAGCAAGAAATCATAGACACCATAAACTCCCTACCACCTGGAAAATCACCAGGCCCAGACGGACTACCCAACTCATATTACAAACAGTTCGCGCCTACTCTAGCTCCCTACCTACAAAGAGTATACCACCACATCCTACAGACAGGGACCATGCCACAAGAAATGCTCATGGCCCATGTTGCCACCCTCCCCAAACCAGGGAAACCCCCAAACAAATGCCAAAATCTGCGCCCCATCTCGCTGTTAAACACGGACGTGAAAATTATAGCAAAAATCCTCTCAAACAGGCTAGCTCCCATAATTCCCTCACTTATTAAAGAAGACCAATTAGGGTTTGTGAGGGGCAGACAAGGAGCGGACGGCACGCGAAAAACCCTGGACCTACTATACGTGATACAGCAAAAAAAGAGGCCCAGCGTCCTACTATCCCTAGATGCCGAAAAAGCCTTTGATAGGCTCCATTGGCCCTTCCTGTTGGCTGTCCTCCACAAATTTGAATTTCCCCCACAATTTATATCACTCATTAAAGCACTATACTCTCAGCCAACAGCCCGAGTGGTAAACGGGGGTTTTATCTCAAAACCCTTCCATATAACTAACGGCTCTAGACAGGGCTGCCCACTTTCCCCACTGCTGTACATCCTGGCGCTAGAACCCCTCACCCAACTCATACGAGACAACCCGAATATCCACGGTATTAAAACTGGGGACCAAGAGTACAAATTGTCCCTATTTGCGGATGATATCTTACTAACCCTGGAACAACCACATATCTCCCTGCCCAATTTCCACGCAACCCTCTCTAGATATAGCGCATGCTCATATTACAAGTTGAACATCACTAAGACTCTAGCCATGGGGATTAATATCCCGAGCCCTGTCCTGACAACCCTTAAATCCAATTTTAACTACGACTGGAGACAAGACAATATCAAATTTTTAGGAATAAACTTCACACCTACAACGAACACACTGCTCAAAGCGAACTATACTAAACTGCTTAAGGAAGCTAAATCCCTAATGCAAAGCTGGAGGGGGAAATACGTGTCATGGACTGGACGAATAGCCTCAGTGAAGATGGTGATTCTACCCAAGATTCAATATCTGTTCCGTACACTCCCACTCCGACTCCCCAAAAAATATCTAATGGAACTACAAAACGTCATAAACGACTTCGTCTGGGACAATAAAAAACCAAGGGTGTCCAAAGCCACAATGTACAAGCCACACGCCCAGGGCGGGATGGGCCTGCCCGAATTGGCGGGATACTACAGGGCAGCGCACATTGCTCCACTCATTGCTGCAACACACAGCCAGGTCCCCACAGCATGGGCAAAACTGGAAGAAAGACAAGCACGGAAGATCCCAATCCAGACTCTAGCCTGGCTACCAAAAACTCACAGACCCAAAGCTTCAGAATTGCTCCCCACTACAGCACTAACCCTGTCCATATGGGACAGCTACCGGAAAAAAAGAGGCGCGACAAACCTACTCTCCCCGGCGATGCCATTGGAGACACTCCGACAGCTTATCCCAGATTTCAATTATAAACTCTGGCAAAGGCACGGCATAACCACAATATCGCATATAATGCAAGGAAATAACCCCAAATCATTCTCAGAACTTCGCACAGAATTCAAGCTACCTAATACGGCGGCCTTTTCCTACCTCCAACTACAATCATGGATACGCATCCACACTCCGACACAACCTGCTGATCCTCCAAACCTCCATTGGACTTAATTGATGAAGATCTGCACAAGGGAAAAACCAGCGACAAAACTTATCTCCACATTATACGCCTCGGAACGCATAGAGACCCTAACGGACCCACCTTCCTTTAAAGTGGCATGGGAACAGGACATCGGACACACACTCTCAAATGACCAATGGCAAGATATATACCAAGCTCATAAACGACTAACCCTCTGCACGACCCACCTAGAACTCTCACGCAAACTACTCTACAGGTGGTACCTAGTCCCCGCAAAACTCAAACATAGCTACCCCGATACATCGGACACATGTTGGAGATGTCAAGCGCACCGAGGCACCCTACTACACATATGGTGGCAATGCCCGCTACTACAACGATACTGGGCACAAGTTGCGAACCTGGCTACAAAATGCACCACGGTGCAGATAACCCCCACACCAGAAACATTCCTACTACTCTCACTCCCACAATTGCCACACCTGCACTTGAAGTATCTACTGTACCACATCTGCATTGCAGCCCTCACAGTCATTAGCAGAAAATGGAAGCAACAAATCACCCCAACACTCCACCAATGCATTGAGGTAATAGAATCAACCAAACTATATGAAC